AATAGAATTTGCGAGGAAATACCTCTGTGGTGGGCAAAGGTCCCTTTTGTCCTTCACCATTCCTTCCCTGTTGAATTGGGTGAGGCTAAAGAGTTCAAGCTCTGTGGGCAGTACCATTGTTCTGCCTTCCTTGTCGTGCTCAGTCTCAGAACTTGATTTTAAAATAATGTTCCAAGCTGAATCTTTTATGGTTATAGGAGTCCTCCTAACCAAAATCCAAAAAAGAAAAATGGATACAGGAGTCAAACATGTAAGAAACACTTCTGTATACATTTGTCATTCTTGAGACTCTTTGCCCCATTTTTAACCGCTAGCAGTTCGGAATTCTTTTCTCTCTTGGCTTCTTTGAAGCCCATGTATTTTCTGACCATACAGGATCTGTAGCCTCATGCTTTACACCTGATGTACCAGTGCCAAGGCACTCCAGTGCTTAATACTGGCTCTCACCCTCCCCCCACCCTGCACTAAAGAAGTTCTGTCGCTGCCCACTTTTTCCTTATTGGAGATCCCTGGTTGAGCACCAAATGTAGAGACTCATTGGGTTCTTGGTGTACTCTGAGTAAGAACCATGGTGAGAATGAGGAAAATGTAGATAAGAGTCTCTTGGGTCAGGTGGAGCTCCAGTTTCTCCTAATCCAAGAAGAGGAACCACACAAGAATGGAAGAGTGTTTATTTACACCCTCCAGAGGTTGACATTAATTTCAGCCTTTCTACTCACCAATCAGTTAACCAGCTGTAGTGGCTTGTTTACATGCTTCAAGAGCCTCCTATGTTCTTGGGCTGGCTTCATCCTTTATGCATAATTACTTTCCAACTTCAACTACTCCCAACAGATTTTCTTTCTTTCTTTTTTAATGTATTTAGTACAGGGTCTCACTATACAGATCAGAGCTAGAGTGATCCTCCTATTTTTAACCTTCCAAGCACTGGGATTACAGGCATCTGCCACCACAGTCCGTCTCATTCACCATCTCAGCAGGCCCCTGGGGCTGGGACTGGCACTGTGCACCAGGGTTCAAACCCCGGTCACTGCATCTGCCTAAGCAGGTGCTTTAATCTTCTGAGCTATCTGGTCAGCCCCCAACAGATTTTCAAAGTGGTTGTACTAGTCTCCACTCCCAACAACAGTGGAGAAGGGTTCCTTTTTACCCACAGCCTTGCCGGCATTTGCTATTGGTTGCTTTCTTGATGATAGCCATTCTTTCTGGGGTGACATGGAATCTCAGTTTTGTTTTAATTTTCTCAAATACCCAATGTACAGGAATGCTATTGATTTCTGAGTGTTGACTTTGTATCTGTGTGCTGCGAAATTTGGTTATTGAATCAGTAAGTCTTTTGGTTGAGTTTTTGGGGTCTTCTCTGTGGAATATCATGTCATATATTTGTCATTTGTATTTCTTCATCTGAGAAGTGTGTATTATCTCAGCTGTCCTGTTTTGGATTGAGTCTTTGAATTTTGGTGGCCTGATTTTTTAAAAAATTCTCTATGTGTTCTAGATATAAATCCTTTGTCTGAGGGACAACTGGTTAACTGTTTCCCCCCAATTCATGGGTTTTCTTTTCATCTTGTTGGTGATTAATTTTGGTGTGCAAAATCTTTTCAGTAAGATGAGATCCTGGTTGCTGATTCTTCGAAGTATTTCCCATGCAGTTTTATTTTTATTTGTGAACTTACGTCTTCAAGATTTCTGCCTACTTTCTCATCCAGTAGATTTAGTGTTCCTGTTTTAATATTTAGATCTTTGATCCATTTTGGCTTTAGTGTATGGTACTAAACATGGGTCTGGTTTTAGTCTTTGGCATGTGGAAAGCCATTTTTTCCAGCACCATTTATTAAAGAGGCTATCTGTCTTCCAGTGAGCATATTTGGCCACTTTGCCAAAGCTAAGATGGTGGAGTGTGTTTGTAGTTGTGTCTGCATCTTTTAATCTGTTCTGCTGATCCTCAGGCCTGTTGTTTTGCCAGTAGCATGCTGATTTTATCACAGTAGCTTTGTAATATAATTTCTTATCAGGGATTTTGATGCCTCTTGCCTTGCCTTTTTTTTTTGGCCAGGATTGCTTTTGCTATTCTAGGTCTCTTCTGGTTCCACATAAATTTTGGTAGTATTTTCTCTAGATCTCTAAGGTATGCTGATGGTATTTTGATTGTGAGTATATTCAATGTATTTTTAGAGTTTGGTCATTTTTGCAATGTTGGGTTTTTTTTATCCATGAATAGAGATCTTTCCATTTTTTGGAATCCTCTTTGATCTCTTTTTAGGGTACTGTAATTTTTACTGTATAGCTCTTTTATTTCCTTTGTTAAATTGATTTCTAAGTATTTCATTTCTTTGGATGTTATTGTGAAGGGTGTGGTTTCCCTAATTTCTCTTTCAGTGAGTTTATTATGTACAGGAATGCTATTGATTTCTGAGTGTTGACTTTGTATCTATCTGCTGCTAAATTTGGTTATTGAATCAAGAAGTCTTTTGGGGGCTGGTGAGATGGCTCAGTGGTCTAAAGCACCTACTTAGAACAAGCTTAGCAAAAGCACAGGGACCGCGGTTCATCAATCCCCCAGCACCACATGCCAGCCAGCCCCGCCCCCTGGTGGGCTGAGCTGGCCACACACACACACACACACACACACACACACACACACACAAATAAATAATTAAAAAAAAAAAAAAGTCTTTTGGTTGAGTTTTTGGGATCTTCTCTGTGGAGTATCATGTCATCTGCAAATAATGGTATCTTTTACTTCTTCCTGTCCTGTCCTTATTCCTTTTATTTCTCTGTCTTGTGTAATTGCTCTGGTATTTCCAGAAGTATATTGAACAGGAGTGTTGATAGTGGACATCTTTGTCTTGTTTCTCATTTTAAAGTAAAAGCTTTCAGGTTTTTTCCATTTAGTGTGATGACAGATATTGGTTTGTGATAAAGGCTTTTGTCAGATTGAGGCAAAAACCATTCCAGTTTCCTGTAGGGTTTTTATCATAAGTAAGTGTTGCATTTCGGCAAAAGTTTTTCTGTGTCTATTGAGATGGTCATACGATTTTTACCTTTGACTCTAATATGGCATGTTACATGTATTGAATTGAATATATTGGCATCCCTGCATTCCTGGGATGAATCCCACTTGGTTGTAGTATACCTTTGAATTTTAAAAGGAAGAACACTTTGTATATTAAACACTATGTAGCAAAGAAAAAAATGTATTAGATGTGTTTATTGTAACCAGTAATTTAATCAGTAAGGATATTGTTGTGATGGCTTTAAATGTAGGCCCACTAATACCACGTTGACTGCTTAATAACGTAAATTGAAATTTTATATCGAAGAGAGTTGTTCCAGTTGCAAATCATGGGAAAAAACTTTCCTCCTTTAGTGTTGTATCTGTTCTTGAAGTCTATCAGCTTCCTTAAATAGAATTTAGTTATCAATACAAATCATGGATTTCATATTACCTGGCCTTTCTGTATGTTTTCTGAACTCTAAGCAGACAGATTGCTCAGTAAGTAGTCCTATGCAGTTTAGTGTTCACCCACATTAATAATGAGGGACATTGGTTAGTCTGAAAGATTTATTAAAAAAAATTAATACATGACAACATAACATTAAATTGGTAGTTTTAACTATACTTAGAAGAACTTGTTTGGACTTTGAAACGGATACCCTTTTTTCTTTGAACAGATTAGTAGATAAACCTTTAAAATTATTCCTGTGAAGATTAAACTTTAAACTGGAATTTATTTAACTTAAAAACTTTTCCTAATTTACTAAGTTCATTTAATTATACAGGATTTAAATTTGGGATTCTCTTTAAGTCCTTACAACAACTACCTTTCTTTTGAAGAAGAAGATTTTGAGTAAATTTGTTAGCAAGCTAGCTTTCATGAAAATTAGAAATTCTCAACAGGAAAAGAATTTTTCATATTTGTTAAAAGGAAATGAAATTTTGAAACTGGAAGTTCCTAGATTTCTGCAGCTGAAAAACTGAAGCTCACAGAGCTTGAGTGCTGGGCTTAACATTCTCATTATGGGGTGACTATTAATCTGTCTTGCTGCCAGTTATCTTGAACCACCAGTAGTACATGCATGATTGTCCCATGGGGCAACTGTCTATTGATTTTTTTAGTAAATTAACCAATAAAAGTGATTATATCCTTTTGAACTACCAGCAGTAGAAGCTACCTGATGGGACATTCATGCGTTTTCATGAATATTTATTTCCTATAATAAATTCAACTGTTGAATAAGGTTTTAAAGAATCATCAAAATGTTATTAATTATAATGGGTACATGTGGATCATACTGTAGTGAGATGTTGCTCAAATTTTTTGTTTCTGGCCTATAAGTGAAAGTCATTAATAGCCTGAGAGGAGTTTGCCAAGACCCATTTGTGTTACCCAAAAGGAACAGCCACTGAAGTGGATTGTGTTGTGTATGTTTGTGGAGAATGGTGTGTTGTGATATTAATCCTCTACAAAACTACAGGTTTTTTTTTCTAGGATTTAAAAATTGGACAACTCCTTGAAGATGAATTACTAATTCTTTTAAATTGACTATATCGTCACTGGTAATTGCTGTTATTTTTGGAGTTTGACTCCAGGTTTTAGTCTCTAAAAATATGCTTTTGAGTGTAAGGTCTTTCTCTTCCCAGGTCCTGGTTATTTCTTAGTACTGCTTTTTCATCTTGGGTCTGGATCAAGGGGCACATCATATGATTTCCTTCTTGGAGAAGGCCCAAAAGGAGTGTTCTTGTTTTAACTGTGTAATTGCCTATTAGGAGAGAGGACCAATGAAGTTTGGGCAGCTCTGCGTATTTCAGGCCTCTGCTGCTGCGTGTACTTGATTTACAAATTAAATGTATAAGAAACAGCACATTTTAGAAATGCTAAATGGAAAGGAAAGATGGGGTAGAATATATTTGCTCCTAGAAAGTTTTTATTTTTCATTTATAATTTTATTAAGTGAATGTAAATTTTTTTTTCTGTTTTTGTTTTCTGATCCCGCAGTCCACGCTGTAACACTGTTTCTAAATATCTTCGGATGTCTGGCTTGGTTTTTTGTTGATTCTTCAAGAGGGGTTGATTTTGGCTTGAGCATCCTGTGGTTCGTGCTTTTCACACCTTGCTCATTTGTCTGCTGGTACAGACCACTTTACGGAGCCTTCAGGTACAATGTGTGTATTGTAAAATTTCTCTTTAAACCCTTGACATCAACAATTCATAGTACACTTTACAGAGAAAATTGACATTTTCATTACCTTTTTTGGTAATTGTACAACATGCCTTTTGAAAAGTGTAATACAACATTCCTGTGTATTTGATGGGTCATGAAATTCATAAAATCCCCTTTTCTCACTTAGAAAAAAGATTAATCATGAAAAAAAAGTTGTAGATTTTAGTATCTGTAAAATACTCTGTTCTATGCTATATACTTTCATTAAAAATTCTTGCTTTTTGTTACTCCTCCTTTGACTCTCAAATCACAAAATTGTAGTTGGTGTTTACTGTTTAAATTTTCAAATGAATGTAAGTGAGGTAATATATATGCAGTGTTTTTACTTAGAAACTTGCTAATTATTTTTTGTGTAAATTTGTTTTTGGTTTTTCCAAAGGCAGCGTCATTTTATAAACCAATTAGAATACAAGATTCAGTATTGTATTTTGCGTGTATGTTTCAATTAGTGGCTAAGATGAATCTTCCTAAATGTATGTTCTGTGGGGTATTAATTAGTTACTGCAGAAAAAGTTCATTAGCTGAATAAATTTGAATGTGAGCTGGTTATTGAAATTAACCTAGTTTCTTCTCTTTAGAATTTCTTACTCTTTAAATGCTTGGTATGCTTTATGATTTTCCAATGAAATCATTATTTTCCTGTGGAACACCTTTTTGGATTATTGCTTTTGAGAAATATATTTGCTTTAAGAAAAACATTTGAACTAAGCATGGTAGCATCTACATATGTCCAAACTACTGAGGAGACTAAAGTGGGAGGATCACTTGAGAACCACACATCTTCAAGACTAGGCTGACCAACTAAGACACTTTCTATCCTCCTCCACCACCACCACCACCACCACCAGGATTAACAACAAAAGAAAAATAACCTAGATGTTCAAGTGGGTGAGGGAAATAGGAGAGAGAGGGAGAGAAGGGGGGGAGTATTATCGGCTTCTTTCCATAGGCCAGCAGAATTGCACAGTGCAGTTGTCCAAACCATCCTGCTTCCATACATACATAGATCTTTTTCCTCCACTTCCTTTTCTCTCCTCCTCAACTCAGTAACTCTTTCCTTTTGAATAAATCCATTCCCTTTTCCCAGTATCTATTGTACCCTTCAGATTCCATTTTTCTCTTTCAGGTTCTTACAGTAAGGAGACAATACAATGTTCGCACACGCAGATCTGATTTATCTCACTTATGAGTATAGCCTCTAGTAGCATCCATTTACTGACAAAAGACTCAAATTTAAGCTGTTTATAGATGAATAATATTCTATCGTGTAAAACTACCGCATTTTTTTAATCCATTGTTCAGTTGATGAGTATCTGGGTTGTTTCCAGGAATTAGCTATGACAAATTGTGCTGCTATAAATAATCATACCACACATATATCACTGTGGTATGAGGTTTTTCATTTCTGAAAAAATACCCAGGATGCAAATAGCTGGCTTGAATGGGATCTCCAATCCTAGCTTTTTAAGGAATTTCTACACTGATTTCCATAGTGGTTGTAGCAAGCTGCAACTGACTGTCCCTCCGACAAAGACTTTCTATCTAGTACATATAAAAAACTAAAATAATAATAATAATAATAATAATAATAATAATAATAATCAACAAATGGAGATTTGCTTTGAAGTACAGACACAACAAATGAGATCCCAGTTGTTGATTCTTTGAGGTAGTTCCATGCAGTTTGGTTTTTGTTTATGAACTCTCTTCCTACCCCTCTGTCTTTAAAATTTCTACCTACATTTTCCTCTAGAAGATTTAGTGTTGCTGTTTTAATATTTATATCTTTGATCCGTTTTGACTGTAGCATTGAATCTGTATAACAGTTTTGGGAGTATGGCCACTTTCACGATGTTGGTTCTTCTTATACAGGAGCATGGAATATTTTTCTATTTTCTTAAAGTCTCTTTTCTCAGAGTATCATAATTTTTACTGTATAAATCTTTTATGTTCCTTGTGAGATTGATTCTTACGTATTTCATTTTTTTGGATGTTATTGTGAAAGGTGTGATTTCTCTAATTTCTCTCAGTGTGTTCATTGTTTGTGTATAAAAATGCTGCTGATTTTTGGATGTTGACTTTATATCCTGCTATGTTGCTGAATTTGGTGATTAAATCTACAAGATTCTTGGTGAAGTTTTTGGGGTCCTCTGTGTACAGTATCATGACATCTGCAAATAATGATAATTTCATCTCTTCTTTTCCAATCTTTATTCTTTCTATTTTTCTCTCATGTATAATTGTTCTGGCTAATGTTTCCAGAACTATATTGACTAGGAAGGGAGACAGTGGACATTCTTATCTTGTTTCTGATTTTAAAGTTTTTTGATGTGTGTATTTAGTACAGGGTCTCACTACACAGATGAGACTTCCTGTTTTCAGCCTCTGAAGCACTGGAATTATAAGCATGCGCCACCACACCCAGTCTCAATCACAGCCTCAACCTGCCCCAGAAGTGGGGCTGGCTTCATACACCAGGTATGAAACCCAGTTCTTATGTCTGCCTAATCAGGAGTTTAATTCCCTGAGTTGTCTGGCCAGCCCTTCCTTTTTTGGAAATGGGCCTTCCTTTTTTGCCCATTCAGTATGAGACTGGCTGTTGATTTCTCATAGATGGCTTTTGTGAGTTTGAGATATAGACCATCTATTCTGATCTCCGTAGGGTTGTTTTTTTAAATCAAGAATGAGTGTTGGACTTTGTCAGAATCTTTTTCTGCATCTATTGAGATGATCATGTGGTTTTTGTTCTTGGTTCTATTGATATGGTGTATTACATTTATGAATTTTCATATGTCGAACCATCCCTGAATTCCTGGAATGAATCCCACTTGGTCATGATGTATAATCTTCTTGATGATTTGCTGCACTTTTTGCTGATGTTTTACTGAGAATTTTTTACGTCTATATTCATTAGAGAGATTGGCCTATAGTTTTCATTTTTAGTTGGATCTTTCTCTGGTTTTGGAATCAGAGTACTACTTGCCTGCAGTAATGAGATTGGGAGAATTGCTTCCCTTTCAATTTTATTGAAGAGTTTGAAAAAGTTGCTATTAAATCTTCTCTAAATTTCTTGTAGAATTCTGGTGTGAATCCATCGGGACCTGGGCTTTTCTTTGTTATTAGGCTTTTTATTACATTTTCAATTTTGTTTCTTGTTATTGGATTATTGAGAGTTTGCATATCTTCTTGACTCAGCTTTGGCATTTCATATATATGTAGAAAACTATTCATTTCTTCTGTGTTTTCCATCTTGTGAGAGTAAAGATTTTAGAAGTAGATTTTGATGATCTTAATTTTTCCATGGTCTGTAGTGATTTCGCCTTTTTCATTCTTCATTGCATGCATTTGGGTTTTTTTGTTTCTTTTTTGATTAGGTTGACTAGGGGTTCATCAGTTTTGTTTATTCTTTCAAAGAATCATCTCTTTGATTCATTTGTTCTTTGTATTGTTTTCTTCATCTCCAGTGTATTAATATCTGCTCTAATGTTTATAATTTCCTGCCTTCTTTGGGCTTTGGTCTTGACTTGCTCTTTTGAGGAGCAGCATAGGATCATTTATTTGGGCTTGTTCTATTCTCCTTATAGTGGTAAAGGAATTTACCACTATAAATTTCCTTCTTAAGACAGCTTTCATTGCATCCCACAGGTTTTGTTAGGTTGTATCTGCATTTTTGTTTGATTGTAAATCTTTTTTAATTTCTTTGTTAATTTCATCAGTGACCCAATGGTTGTTTAAAAGGTGGTTATTTAATTTCCATGTTTTTATGGTGTTTTTGTAGTTTCTTTTGTTAACAATTTCCAGTTTTCTTGCACTGCGGTCAGACAGTATGCAGGGGATATAATTTCAGTTCCTTTGCATTTACTTAAAACTGTTCTGGGTGCTAGTATATGGTTTATTTTGGTGAATGTCCAGCATGCAGCTGAAAAGAACGTGTATTTTGTTGTTGCTGGGTGAAACACCACTGTAAAGGTCTACCAAGTCAATTTCTTCACAAGTTTGGTTTAATTCTGTTATTTCTTTGCTGATTTTTTGCCTAGTTGATATATGTCATTGTGACAGTGGCAAGTTAAAGTCCCCCATTACTGTTGTATTATTGCTCATTTGATTTTTCGTGTCCATTAAGATTTGTTTTATGTAGGTGGGTGCTCCTATATTGGCTGCATATGTGTGTGTGTGTGTGTGTGTGTGTGTATAATTTATAATTGTTATCTCTTCCTCTTGTAGTATTCCCTTAACAAGTATG